AGGGAGACACAGAATGCGAAACAGGCTCCAGGCTCTGAGCTGTCAGCACAGAGCCCGACGCGGGGCTCGAACTCACGGACCGCGAGATCCTGACCTGAGCTGAAGTCGGCCGCTTAACCGACTGAGCCACCCAGGCGCCCCTCTAATTTATTTTTTATTTTTTGAGAGAGAGAGCAAGAGCGAGCGCACACGAGTGGGGGCAGTGCAGAGAGGGAGACACAGAATCCTAAGCAGGCTCTAGGATCAGAGCTGGCAGCACAGAGCACAATGCAGGGCTTAAACCCACAAACTGTGAGATCACGACCTGAGCCAAAGTCTGATGCTTAACGAACTGGGCTACCCAGGCGCCCCAGGGGGACTGACTCTTGATTTCACTCAGGTCATGATCTCATAGTTCCTGAGATCCAGCCCCGCATCAGGGTCCGAGCTGGGGATGATCTTTCCCTCTCTCTCTTTCCTCCCCTGCTCATGCACTGTTTCTCTCTTCCAAAATAAATAAATAAAACTGAATAAAAAAAGAAGAAACTAGGATTTAGGCTTAAAATATATGTGGACATAAAAGTATACCAGGTTTACATTACAGTGGAATTCTGTGACTTTAATACCAACATTACTACGTCCCTTTCTGAGAATTTCATTTTACTTAAAGCAAATTTTTTGGAAGGAGAGGATCTTTTTAAATTTATACCTAGAAAACAGTAGAAAAGTGTTCTTCTTGCAAAGTAACTTGTAATAATAACTAATATAATGTGGACTATCTCATTTAGTGCTTATAGAAATCTTAACAGAGGATTTTATTATTATCCTCATTTTATGTATACATAAAAACTGGAAATCCAAGGGGTAAAATCCAAGGATTTCAAAGATAACAGAGCTGTTAGGTGTGGTAGCTGGATATGAACTCAAAGATAAGAGTGGACAGAGATATTTTGAAGAGGACAAATAAATTTAAGAGGAGACAAAAAGTAAAAGTTCTAAACTTTAGTAGTTTCTTGCAAGTTATTTTTGAAGCACTTTTCATAAGTTTTTAAATACCAATCAAAAGTTGGTCTTTTAACAGAAATATGCCCTTGGTTTTTATATTCTGAGATAAAGAAATATATAGGATTAGTAAAGTTATTAGAGGTATGCTAACATCTACTGTCAGGCTGAGATTAAATGAATTTGTTTCATCTTTTCACCCTCTGAAGGTCATATTTAAAACCTCAAAATAGAATGAAATTCTGTAGCTGAAATTCAAAAATGTGTGATTTGTTTTATTCTACCTACCAGACGGTAAATACATTACATTTTTTAATATTCAAGGCAACATTCATTGGTTATTTAAATAAACAAACTAGAAAATGTTCTCATGAGCTTATTTATTCCTTTCATTATAAAAACACTCTAATTATAATTGCACTATACTATTCTTCCTTTGGAACATTCAGTACTGTGCTAAATCGAATAAGATCTGGGGATAAAGAAATCTGTTTGCATTTTATATGTGTTTATAAAATACGCTTGAATTTTTTCTAGGTACCTTTAACTATTTTAAATTTATTTTCATCTGTCCAGTTATAGAAAGATATTGAATGAGACTTAATGGGTGTCTTGGAAGAATCTATAAGGTGTATTTGTATGTTATGACTTAGGCCATTTGACAGTTTCATCCCCATGAATTTCCCCACAGACCTGATCATCTCATCCCCACCCCTGTTTTAGTTGTTTTCTGTGACACCTTCACCTCCGTAGACTCCCTTCCTATGTCCAAATGTAGGGCCTTTCTAGGTGTAAATGTTTGGTTCTCCATCTTGTCCACATTTCTCTATCTTACGATCGCATTCATTGTCACGCATCCTGTGGTCATTTGGAGAGACATTTCCAAATGTGATTCTTTTGCCCATTCATGTACTTGCCAAAGCAGTGTGCCTTACACCACCCCTCAGGGATGAGCACCTCTTCCCCTGGAGGCAGAACGGAACCTTGAATGAGGGGTTATGAAAGAAGGTGAGTCCTGGATATGGTGGGATGCCACTGGACGGTGCCTGTCCCAACTATGTGCTTGACTCTTCTTGGCTTGGTAAAGACTTAGTGGAGGAACTAATATCTAGAAAATGGAAGGGCATTCCAGGCAGAGAGCACAGCATGGGAACATGTACTGACATGGAATTAAAGCTGAGCCTGGAAGCTACAAGTAGAGTCCCTGGCCCTGGCCTGTAAGATGCAGGGGGAGGGGGCTGAGATGAAACTGTGAAGCCAAGTAAGGATTACACCCAGTGCACCTCCCATGTCTAGCAAAGGAAGGCTTCGGATAGTGGAATGTTTGCCTGGTATAAAGATCATGCTTGCAGCAAAGTAGGGAGTAAACACGAAGAGAACCTAGGTCTAATTTATTGTCCTTCCACATATGACTAGTACAGATATGTACACACAGTAGGCATTCAATAGTTATTTGCTGAATGAATGGTCCTAAACCAAGCTCAAGATCATTTCAGAATGAGTCATTTTTAGCAAATGCAGACAATCCTCAGATTATGAACTGACTGCATTCTAGAAGTTAATTTGCAAGTCAGTCGTTTGGCACCAAGTTTTCTGTATAAGTACTGAAACATGTTCATTATGGTCCTGAGCTGCTTTTTAGGCTGTGTACTTTTTAGGCTAGGCACTGTTCTGGGAAAAGGAATTCCAAATGAAATTCTGACTGTAGCTCTTTCTACCGTGGCATTTGAAGGGCTGGGTAACTGAATCTAGTGAATCAACTAGATATACTTCCTTACCTCCTGAAGAAAATGCAGTCCTGTAAAAATGATGAATGAACACATACGTAGACACAAACACATAGACACAAACCCCAAGCATACACTAAAACACAACTTAGAATAACCAGTATCCTCATTTCCTGAATTTAGTCAGCTCCAGCAGAGTGAAAGGCCCCAGACATGGGACCCAACGAATCCCAATCAACTGCACGTCGGGCAGTGCTCAGAGCCTTACACCACTTGCCACAGCACTTGGATTCCTTAAAACAACAAAATCTAGGAGCTGGGCCACACACCAGATGCTTAGGTTATGCAAAGATGAACAAGAAATAGTCTTCATCCTGGAGAGAAGGCACGTGTTCACATGGGAGAGAGAAGTATTGACAGTTATACCTCAGTGGCCAGGGCGACAATGGAGGAAGGGTCTTGTTAACCCTTCCCGGAGGTATCAGAGAAGGCCTCCCAGAGAAGGGGATGTTTGAGGTGAATCTGAAGGCTAAGTGGCTGTTTCCCTGATGGTTGAGAAAGTAAGGGCTTTATAAGTAAGAAGTTACATTATACATAGTCAAAGCTGGGATGTTTTTGAGGAACTGCAAACAGTTCAGTGGGTCTGTAGCCCTGGAAGGAACTGTCATGGGGGAAGAGTGCAGGAGTCAGATTAGGAAAACAGTCTTACAAATGATGCTTAGTGCTTGAACTTTATCACTGAGAAAAGAACAGTGTTATGGATGGCATGGAGTCCCACGGAATACTGACACTTCAGTGAAAGGCAGAAACAGTCAAGTACTTGTTGAATCACACTGAAGCTAAAATTCTTGCTTTAAAAATGTCTTGCTTTAAAAAAAGTCTGGCTTCGACATCGCCATTCAAAAGATTCATGGTATCTTGACCCAACAACCGCAGGGATAACTAAGAAATTTCTCATGACCACAAATGCTAACTCAGAAGTAAAATCATCAGGCACTCTTAAATATTCAAAAAGATCTAGTCATAAATATAAATTCCCGCAAACCCCCTGACCAGGTCTCTACATAAATAAACTGGAAAAGTCAGGGCATAGTTTTGTAGATAAAGGAGTTATTACTGGCACTCTGCTGTTTTGCCTTCCATCTGCTTTTAAGCCATGATGAAAGCAAATTAACCTATTACCTGTTTAACAGAAGCAAAAGCATTTGTTCAGAAAGCAGCATGTATTTCAGGAATAGACAGCAATGAATAGTTGTAAAGGGAAGGGAAATACTCTAATCTTGTTTCAAAACTTTTTTTTACAAACTACAACTACATCTAAAAAAACTGAAGTGGATATATATATATATCATATACATATATGACTACAAGGAAGCACAGGACATATGAGTGTTATCAGCACACGACTGAAGGCGACAGATGACAGATGTGTTCCACTTTGTAATGCACGGAGACCTATTCTGATCTTGGAAACACTGAGCTGCAGGACATGGCCAGAGACTGTCTGAGTCTGCCCTCTATTCACACTCGACATCAATATGTATTGTTCTCTTACACTAAAAATTCAAAAGGAGAATTGCAGTAAAACTACAGACATGATCAAAAGCAGCAGCACAGATCATTTTACTTCCAAACTTAAGTATTAACTGTAACAGAACTCTTGGTCAGTAATGAAATAAAAGAATGCCATAATAATTTTGACGGTGGAAATCATATCTGTTATATTCAACAGAGAATTAGCTGCCTCTTTCAGAAGCTCTTAAAACTCCTCAACTAGACAAGTATTTAAATCACTTACATAGTATTTAATTTAGCTCCTCTTCCTACTAATCTCATTTGATGGAACTCTCTAGTCATTGGGTAGGCACTGGATTCTCAACGTTTGTGGGATTCAAAGGGTACGATGTCAGGAAGATGAAAGTGAACTATTATTACATTCATCAGTGCTGATAAATGAAATTAGAATACACTAGAATACTGTTAGTCTATTTATTACTTGTAATCTAGGGGAAAAAAACCTTTTGGGGATAGTGTGACGGATACTGACAATATATACGAATGTCATTTACAAATACAGAATATCAATTGGTAGATCGGTTTTTGGCCCACCAAAGCAATTAAATCTGTTCTGTTGCTGAAGCCACATTCGCTTTAACTCAAAGATAAGCTTGAAAAAATCAAGTGTGTTTTAACGAACTACAAAGCTGTATTCTAAGCAATGTGTGGTCTACGTATGGCTGACAATTAGCATAAAATAAACATCCTTATAAAGAAAGTGAGCCGTCTGTGCACCTCATTAATGAAGTCCCCGATGTCCCCAGGGTGCGGGGCTGCAGATCGGACTGGGTACTGGGGCTCGGCATGGATGGGTCTCTCGTCCAGTCGTCGGATTCCTACAGGCTTAATGGCATCAGGTTCCACGGTATCAGGCTGCTGCAGCTGGCTCAAGTCGTAATCCTGCAAAAGACAAAATCAAAAACCCATGGTAGATGGGCATAAAGATGGAAAATTACAACCTTTGTTTTTAAACACATACCCAGAATGCATAGAAATGAGTGAAATTTAACATAATGGAAAAGTTGCCACCATGAGTTTTTCATGTTATGATTAAATATTTCTTTCACACAGCTCTTTCTTCTGTGCTTTTCATTTCTGCAGTCTGTGCTCCATCTGCTTTCCTATGCTTCTCATCAGTTTCCAATGGAAAACAGTGAGACGAGGCTCCACTATAAAACGAGGAAAAAACTGTCTAGAAGATAGAGTTGTACCATAGAAGCAAAGGTACGAACTTAAGGTGGGTGGGGCTCGGGGCTCAGGGCATCCTAACTTACAGCACCTTAGCATGTTAGGTATCTCAAGTTGAAGGAATTCAAAAGCCCAACAGCAAGAGTTGCAAGGTCACTCTAACTCCCCTCATCTTGCCCTTCTTCCTTGAAACAGGTCATAAAACTCCCATGTGAATGGTCCCCTTCCTGTACCAGGAGGAGGGAAGGCATTCTTATCATCAGAGACAGAGAATTTGGGGCCAAGGAATCTGTACAAACAAACCTTGTTAAACTAACCTTAATCTCCCTAGTTACTTCTTCACCATTTACTAGCCCTAGCCCAAACCCTCGGTCTCCTCAATCCTTAGAAATTTATTGTTTCTTTGTCTCAAAGTATAAAAGGTTCCCACTCTGGACACTTCTTTGGGTCTTCACGCTTTGGGAAGCTCCCATGTACATGTAACAGTTTAACAGGATGTGTATGCTTTTCTCCTGTTAATCTTTGTTAGTTTAATTTTCAGGCCAAATCGGGGATGGGGATGAAGTCTTTTTCCTCTCCTACAATATCTTTAATATTAATTGGGCAAATACTTGGTAGTTTTCAAACCCCTAAATTCTGATGATATAAAATTCTCCAATTTAATGTTGACATTTACAGAGACGGCAGACTTTCTGGGGCTCTTCATAGTTCAGGCTTCATCTTTTGGTCGAAAACCAGCTTAGAACCATTTGTAGTATCTCTATAGTGGTTTTGATTTATTCAACACTTGGATACTTACCAGGTACCGGCATTGTTGTAGATACTTGACATATGCTTGCTCATTTAATCCTCTGATCAGTACTATTTGATGTTAAGTTTTATTATCCCCATTTAAGAGTTGAGATATTGAGTCTCAAACAACCCAAGTAACTAGTCCATGGTCCCAGATCTACTAAGACTCAGAGACAGGTTCCGACTCCAAGTATGTTAGACTTACTTCAAAGTGTAGCTCTTTGACAGTCTTGTAGGACAGTGAGTCAAGTCCAAGCTACAAGGCCAGAGTTAAATAGTGACAAACTAGACAGATAAGTGTGGAGGGCAGGAATGTGAGGAATGATGAAAATAACAAAGGAGACCAAGGGAAGGAAGGCCACTGGCATTCATGTCTGCTATGTGAGTGCCCAGGCACTCACTATACCAGCCTCTTGAGAATGTGTTCTCACAGATACTTTCTAACAAACCTGTGGAGCGTGTCTCATTATCATCTTTTTAGGTGGAGAAACAGATTCAGAGAGCTTGAGTAACTCACCCAGGGTCACACATCTAGCCTGGCAAGTAGGATGGGAATCAAAACCAGGCCTGTTCGACTTCACACTGTCAATCCACAAAGTAACTGTCTGCTCCTTGAGGCAGTCCCATTCTGACCACCCTCTCCTAAAAATCTCCTTACCGAGAGATTCAGCTACCCTAACGGCTAAAAGCCCCTCCTCTCAGGAGTCTGCAGGGGGCTGCGGGGGGTGAAGCAGGTACACACGGCAAGACAAGCCACCGTGGGATGCAAACTTGGTAAACTGCAAAGTATAAAATGCTCAGAGGAGAAAACTCACATTAGATTTGAACCCTGAGCAATCCATGCACTAGGGAGAAAGGACCTTTCTGGGATTACGAACAGCATGAGCAAAGGCATGGGGATGCTGTTTTCTCTTGTCAGGATAGAATACCTCAGATTATCTATACAAAACTTCAGTGAAAACATCTCGATTATGCTCAAATGTGCTCCACTTTAAATTTTATAGAATTTATGAGTGATTTATAGACTATCTTGAAGACGTACAATGATAAAACAGATGCAAAGGCCTTTGAAATGCTAAAATGTCATACAAAATAAAAACAGGGATTTATTTAGAGACTTCTGAATGCTTACACACCAAGAAGCATGTTTTTCTGCATGACGTTTAACTGCAGAACTACCAAGCATAAGAGAGTGACAATTCTTGAAGCTTTATATAGAAAGGGAAAAACAGGGGCACTTGGGTGGCTCAACTGGTTAAGCCACTGATTTTGACTCAGGTCATGATCTCACGGCTCATGAGATTGAGGCCTGTGTCAAGCCCTGCCTTCAGCACAGAACTTACTTGGGATTCTCTCTCTCTCTCTGCCCTTCCCCCACTTGCACACGCTCTTTCTCAAGATAAATAAATAAACTTAAAAAAAATAGATTGTAAGCATAATGATCACAGTGAAATATTTTTACACTGAGGGTGTAAAATACTTTATGAGAAGTATGAATTACATGAAATTAAGTAATTCAATCTTATGGGTAAGGACTGTCTTCTACCTGGTGACAAACTCCTTGGTACTTCTCAGTATTTTATAGGACAGTTTTGTACAAGAATGTGGAGGAATTTCCTTGGCATAATTGGAGACAAAACGAACATGTTGGCTTTGCTCATGCTACTTCCTTCCTGGAAAGAACCTGTGCTCCCTGATTTCTTATACAGCTTCCACTATACCCAAATGTTACAAAGATGAATGCATTTTGACAGGCCAGCAGTGTTGTAAAATTTTTTCTAATAAATTGCCAACATTTAGACATAGGGATAGTTCACCTGAAAATGGAACGATCTGGCAAAACAGAGGTTAAATTCTGATGTCATTTGTTAAAGCTGATTGCAGCTGTCTCCTCTGGACAAGGACAGCATCTCTGCCTGGACTGCTTCCTTTATTAGGGATACATATAACAGCATATTGATTGACAAGTTTTTATCTTTCTTTTGATAGATTTTTCTACCATCCTAAGAACCAGAGAGCAGGAACGGTCTTAAAAGGTCTGTGGTCCTGTTCGGTCCTTCTCACCATCAAAATGGCAAACCCACAGGAAATGCTCATTAAAAAATGTGTTGAATGGGGCGCCTGGGTGGCTCAGTCGGTTAAGCGGCGACTTCGGCTCAGGTCATGATCTCGCGGTCTGTGAGTTCAAGCCCCGCGTCGGGCTCTGTACTGACAGCTCAGAGCCTGGAGCCTGTTTCAGATTCTGTGTCTTCCTCTCTCTGACCCTCCCCCGTTCATGCTGTGTCTCTCTCTGTCTCAAAAATAAATAAACGTTAAAAAAAAATGTGTTGAATAAGGTCTCAGTGATGATATTCATGCCAGATGTTCAAAGGAGCAAATGATTCAAGAAACGTGCCTTGGATCACATCACACTCCATGGCAGTAATTCACAATGGGGAGGGAGGGAAAGACCCCCATCCCATCAATGAGATTCACTGCCCTGATGAGTCCTCTGTAATGATGGAAACGTGTCATGTTCCTCAGCTATGCTGCTTTCGAAAAAAGGCAGGAAACCACTGATTTACAGGAAGCTAGAAACTGGGTTAAAACGTGTGGCTTAACGTTTCTCTGAGATGGCTTCCCCGGTCTATTACAAATATGGGATATATAAAAAAATCTGATAATAGTAGGAAGTAGGCAGAAGTGTCTTCAGGTCACAGGGACGGGTTTTTCTGTCCACATCCATCTGTGTTATATGGCAGAGGTCCTGATCTGAGCGTCCAATTTTAAGCCTTTTGATAAGGGGTCACTCTATGCAAACCTCCTAAATTACACATCTTTACAATCCCATAATACTTTACTTAAACACACAAATTACAACATGTAGGATGAGAATTATAAAGAGAATTACAGAGACTGAAAACATGCTCAAGGTCATTGGGTTCATGGTCTTACTTCTGAAGATTATAAAGAAACAATCCCAGGAAGAAATCTTTATTTGGTTCCTAAAGCTCTCTAGAGAAAAAGCAGATCCGAAAATTCTCTTACAATTGTCAACCTTTATTTGCAATGTTAACTTCCTAAAGAAATTTAATTTTCAAATGAAAGCCAAGGAAAATCTTGTTTTAACTAATATTTGGAACACGTGTTATTTGGCAACAACCATTTTTGGTAGGCATGGAATTAACGGTTTTTAGAATATTAACATCGCACGCAACAAAAATATTTTTTTTCCTCATCTATGATTTAAAATGTTATAAGGGTGATACAATTGTGGGAGAGTTAGTAAAAACTAGCTAGCAGCTAGCACCCTGCTTTTGGCTTTTCTTGTTAAAATTCCACTGACTTGCAACGATTTATAATTGGTTCAGTAAAGACACCACGAATCCACCCAAAGGCATTTGGTTATGTTTAAATAAATTAAAATTCTGTCTCGGTATAGATAGAAATTCTGGTACCTAGGTAAAATTTCAAAAAGCTAAAAAAAAAAAAAAATATCTAGAAAGCTACATTGCTGGAAAAAAATCTGTAGACTCGTGTAATTAAATCTGTTTTAGAGAGTGATGAAAATATTCATTTACTGTTTTGCAAGTATTTAAGGAGAACCTACTGGGTGCCAGATGCCATTTTCAGCTCTGAGTATGTATGAAAGAAGGAAACCAGCCTTCCTCTGGTGCCCCTCACTGTCAGGAATGACATGAGGTGCTTTCTCAGTGGAACCTCATATACTCCAATCACAAATCCTTCCAAGTGGGTGTTGTTCCGTCCCACTGATCACCACAGGTCAGAGAGGTTAATCATTTGCCCAAGGTCACGGATGTTAAGCAGTGTGGAAGGATAAAAACAGAGACCCACCAGAGCAAGCAAGATTAAAACAAAAAAGCTGCATCTTGTTGCCAAGGGGCCAGTGAAGAAATGTACAGAATAGTTTGCTGAGGGGT